CCTGGGCAGCTGGTGGCCAGCAATGGCCACAGTTTAAGCAAGGGGCTGCACCGCCCGCCTTGGTCCACGCATTCACTCTCACAGTGCGCGCGCGTATTCAGGTATTTCGTTGCTTTTTGAACCTTTTGCTCTACTATTTTGCAATCTTTTTTCGGCAGGACCTTCATTAGAAGTCCTTTTTGCCTTCGATTTGCAAAACTAACCTACTTCTACGTTTTCAGTAGCCCAACTCTCCCTTTCCCGTTAAATTCCGCCAATATAAGGTCGAATTTCCCTTCTTTCATTAAATTCCGCCAATAAAAGGTTGAATTTTTCCCGACTGACATCAGTTTCCTGAGCAAAACGAGTTCATATCGATGGATTTGATTCTATTTAGTACACTGGAACAAATATAAGTTTTCTTTTTTGATAATTTCCAACACAACTTAATATTCATTTGCACTCACTAACCACAAAATGTTGTTGGTCGTTTTGCGATACAAGCCATTGGGCGGTTTCATACTCCGTTGCTGACCAATAATGTTGCCTACAGTCTTGTGGGGAGCTCTTGTTAGCTTCGTTTTCCCTCGTATCTGGCGACCTGGATTCCATTTATGATTGTTCTGAATTCGAACAAGACAACGGAATGATATAAAGAACTAGCTGACCAAACAAAATTACCCGTTTTCGAGAATTTTTCACGTTAAACATTCAACAGTTAATGCTCAATTCGCCCGTCTGAAGTTGTCTAATATTTAAAAAGTGTGTCTTAATGATGCGCACAAAAACACACATTTTGACGTCCAGTTTTGCTTACTTTCAGCCTATCTGCCATTATATATTTCCAAACCAGCTGTCCGCCTTCTGAAACCTACTTTTTTTCTTCCTTAGCTGCATTCAGCCGGACTACTGACAGAGACAGATGCCAAGATGCCCCTTCAGCTCTTCCTGAAGCAGGGCAACCCCCGGACCGTTTTGCAGGTGCACTTCATACTGCACGGGTGCGTGCTTTTCGTGCCGTCCGAAAGCGTAGGCGACTTAGTGAAATGCCAGGCGTCCCAAGTACAAGACCTGCATGAGATACAGGTTCCATTCTCACCCCGCCAGCTTCCGCCCAGTTTTTGTTTGTGGCTTCGCAAGCCTGTGCTAGGCTCAGCAGCTGGAACCTGATACCCGCCCGTACTGCTGGTCAGGCCTAGGGCTAGTTGGAATTCCCTCTGTCGCCACATTAAGGCCGTCAACTTGCATTGCGAAAACTCCCAGATGCTCTTTGACCTGAACACAGGACCCTTCTGTACTAGCTTGCTATTGTTTAGCCAGCGACACAAATTCTCTCATAGACGTGGCTTAGTACTATGAGGCATACTTTATCGGATAGAATTTCAGGAAGAGCAAAGTCATCTCTTGTGGGCCACTGCTTAATCATCTGACCTGTTACACCTTTACTTAAGAATATCGCTTGTGAAAAAAAATTACAGAGAATATGTTGTTTAAATGAGTTTTCTTGTTTCACGTATAATTGGCACTCGGTTTGGCTCTAGTTCATGTCTTGACAGTGGTTGTCCTCTGCGCCTATAGGCGATAGATTCTGCGATTGCTTAAGTTTTTTTCAGATTTCCAGGGCTCGGTGAAAGTGCTAAAACTAAGAATGCTGTTTTTCACCTGCCCACACGACTAAACGCGCGAAATGAATAACATAGGCGGACAAGCTTCGAGCTTTGTATTATCTTTCATTGCTAATATGTAATGCTTAACTTTGATTTAATCAATTTGTAGTAAATTTTATAGATATAGATAGACAGTTAATATGAATATTTGATTTGCATTAAATTTTCAATAGGCAGCCAGTAGTATATATATATATATGTAGGGATTACATGATACACCATTTGAACGTGCCTAGGCTGACAATACGCCGGCTTGCGAGTGATTATCAATATTTTGCAAATTTCAGTATTTGAGTGATTTTGTTCATATGTTATATGTAGCAGTTACATGGTACGCCATAATGACAGCCCAGGTACTCCCTTAAAGTCCATAGGCTCAACGAGGGCAATTATAATGCGGGCAATATTTTGAAATTGATTTCGATTATGCCTCGCTATTTACCCAGGTTCCTTATTCTTTCATATATCGCCTATGTAGTATTAGTTGTTCTTCATGTATTCGTTGCTGCTATTGTTATTGTGGAACTAGAAAGTTAATCGTTCTGCGGTTCATTTATCTTTTCTTTAATTTAGTCTCCTCCAACTCCTAACCTGTGATCGGGCAGGTGTTGCCATGGCGCATAGTCTGTTCAATTTCTTCCACGGCCTGGACCTCGACGAGCTCTTCCTTCTCCAGCACGATTCCAATGCAGTTTCAGATAAGCGCATCCTCAGAACCAACTTCCTAGAACAGGTTGTCGTGCGTTTGGAGTTAGCAGACATACTGCTGCAGGTCTTGATCCTATCTGGGCAGCATCTCGAGCGTGCTCAGTTAGACTACCCCACTGAAGGGTCCCATAGGTCTCCTTTTGACCACATTGAGACAGGTGGACTTGCGGATTGTGATAAACGATTACTCTCGACTTCGAATCCTCTTATCTCTGCCACAGTCAAAGTTTGTTCGCAGTTAATTCGACTGTGCGACACAGCGAAGGAGAATTCCCTTAAATCCCTCATTCACAAGGTTAGTTTTTAATTACAGCTGTAGTTGTGAAACTTCTGAAAGATTATTTGTATCACCCGTTCTTACTGGACCTTTTGTCCCTCCTTCTACACGTAAATCCGTCCTTTTTACTTGCAAATACTTTACCCAAATCGTTCTAACACTTTTTTCGCACCAACACGATGAACGTTTCCCTTAAGCCGAAAAGAATTTTAATCGTGACTCCTTTTTCGACTCCAGCTACACTTTTTTCTCCGTTTTTCTATCTATTCCTTATCGAGGAATCAAGGATAATAAACTTTAACCCTGGCAGTTGCAATCTTCAGGCTCGGTTCCTTTGGAGAAGAAGAGTTGAGGGGGCACAGTAGTAGGAACAGTTAATTCTGTACAGAAGGAGTAGATAATAGATAGGAGGAGATTTGGCTGTCAGACTAGCGCACGTCCGTGTGTCTGAAGTGACGAGAGCGTAGGGCATTGCCGGGAACCCAAAGCATGCTCTGTTCCTGCAGCTAATCAGGAAAT